GAAATACGTTTATGATAAAATTTTGGAAAATGGGCGTGGCACCGCCCACTTATGATCACATATATGTATATCGTTAACCGTTTTAGCAATTTGTACCAAACTCGGTATGGTTATTGTGCTTGCCACATAAAAGCAAACCGTTGAAAATTATTGAAATCGGACTAAAATTACGGCCGCTTTTCATATAACGGTAAATTTCAGAAATGCTTGAAATTTCAATATTTCGAAATTTAAGGATGCTAGTTTACTTAATATTTATACACCCGCTTATCATGTAGCGGTAGCTTTCGGAAAGGTGGAAAACATATATTTAATACTTGCGCCGGGTATTTAATGTTCGGCTCCGCCCGAACTTAGACTTTCTTACTTGTTTTTTTTTTAAGTTTATCATCGAACTTTATTCCTAGGAATTGGAATGTATTTACGTTTTCCAGTGCTTCGTTGTTTGTATTTAGAGTTAGCGCCGCACTGTTCTAAAAATGTCGCCTTGATATAACCACAAATTTAGTTTTATTGACATTCAATTCATGTGTTCAATCATAACCAATAGCACTTTGAAAATAAATATTGCGACCAAAAATTTATTCAGTATGTGGCGCTGGGGTCGGGACATTCCTAAATTTCTTATACAGACTAAATCGTAAAAAACCAATATATGTATATCTAAAACCAATTACGATGGGGAACACAGATGCATACATTGCAAATAATCTACTTATGGCGAGAAATGGTAGACGTTGGAAAAGGGTGCCTGGCACCTCCCATACAAACTGAACTTCTCAAATATCTTATTTCTGGAACCGCTTACAGTTACATAGCGTCGCTACCATGTCAAACTACCGAATGTGAAAATCGGTACTTTTAAGGAGAGCAAAGAAACTGTTGTAAAAATTCTTTTGCCATTGGGAAAAAGTATGGGATTCGAGACTTTGTTAAAGCCAGTATCCACTGCTTTTAAGAAGACTAGAAATTCGACGATTTGTCAACTTGCCTTTCATCCTAAACGCATGCGCAAGGTATCGTAAATGAAAAAGCACTTTTGCACATTCGATAGTTTGACATGGTAGCGACGATATGTTATCAATACCGTACTTATGGCGAAAAGTGGTAATTATTTGAAAGGCTGCATCTATATTAGGGTGGTCCAAAAAAGCATGTGAAAAAGTAAAGTAGGAATTTTTCATGTCTCACTCCCTAGGATTGTTCTACACCGAAAAAAATATACCATTATTATTTTATTTTGAAATCGAAAAATATTTAGGGGTTGCTCAAAGCGCCCAAAGTTTTCCATGTCACTTGAGCGCTTTGAGCGACCTCTAAATATTTGTTGATTGCTTTTTTCGATATAGAACAATCCTAGGGGGTGAGAGCATTACAATTCCGACTTTACTGTTTTTTGACCACCCTAATCTATATACATTTTTGTGAACGGGCAAGTATCACTCGATCGGGAACCATTTTCTCCTAGATTTCTAAATTTTTGGTAAAAGGTAAAATTTGTAAAAATTTTTAAGATTTTTTTTTTAATTTTGCACAAAGTTTGGAGCTTTGGTTTTATGAGTTTCGTTATAGACTGTCCTATCTACATACCTACATATATAAAATGATAGCGGTTTTCGTTGTTCGGACTAAACTTAAAAACCACTGAATAGTCTAGCTAGAAATCAGTTCATAAATACTAACACGAATTGTAAAAGTGGCGAATTAACAAGGAAAGATCACCGTAGGTATTCCATATGGTATCACAGCGTTACTATTACGTTGGCCTATGTGTAAGGGGGATACTGGGCTTTAGTGGTTTCAACTTAAACTAAAAATTTTGACTTTACAGACTATTTTTGCTTTTAAGTGCTCTTTTGCATTGTCCAACGCAAAAATTCTTATTAGGCGCCGCGAAACAATCGGGCATTAGCAAGTTTATGTATACAAACATTGATATGTTCTAAAAATACGTACGAAAGTGCAAATGTACTTAAATTTGAAACGCCTACACAAATACTGCTGTCGCCGCAGTGGCCATTAGCCAAGCGATAGTCACTGCACAGTGGTGTGTGCTTACAATAAAATAATTATGAATGCCAGATTAAAAATAATACATATTAACTTTTTGCTCACTCAAATGACCAAAACTCTATCACAATGAAATTATTTCTAGAAAATTTGCAAATAAGTCAGTGGTCAATTACCATTTCATTTTTAAGGCACAATTTGAAAGCGAATTTCACTAACGTCTCATTATTCCAGCGCTAATTTCACTACATATTTGATTTTCCACAAATTTTTGTACGAAGCGCACCCACTGTGCTTCGCCAAAGTCAATATACCTATTCTTACATGATCACGTGCAGTAGATATGTTTTGCTTATAACTCAATGCGTCTGACGAATGCTTTACAAATAATAGCAATTCTCGGTTTTCATAAGCAGCAGCGTATGAGTGTGCATATGTATGTTTGTGCGCAGTAAGCGTGCATTTGTGTGCTCATTAAATTGAAGTTAATGCCAAAGATTATTGTATAGAAATATATTTTATGTTTTTAATTCATATTGGCATTATTGTGTACATTGAAACACAGGACATACATACATATGTATGTACACTAGGGTGGTCCAAAAAAAGTAAAGTCGGAAATTTAATGCTCTCACCCGCTAGGATTGTTCTATACCGAAAAAAGTATACCCCTGTTTTTTTATTTGAAAATCAAAATATNAAGACTTTTCGTAGAAATGGCATAGAATCCATGAAAATCAAAATTTTTCAATCTGAAAACTCTGCTTCTCTTCAGAAGACTTCAGAGAATATTTTTTAAGGGTCTCCGAAATATCCCAAAAAAATCAAATACTCAAAAGAAATATACAAAAGAAAAAAAGAAAAAATAGTTAAAATTAAAAAA